GTATTATCTAATTGATGTCAGTTACAAAGGTGAGACAACCACACCTATTGCTGTGAACACGTATAATCTGTTACGTACACAAGATAGCTATACGTCACCCATGATTTATGCTCGTCATTACACACTTATACGGTATCAGATGCCTCGGTTTATGCTGTTACCCTTACTGTGATTATATAATGTTTTACTATATGTTGTCCATTTGTAATCAAGCCTTACACTACGGTCAAGGTACCGAAATGGTTAGTTACCTTATTTTAAATATGTCCTTTTTGGGCACGTTTGTATAAATATTGTAATAATATGCCAATGAGCTGCAAGGCTTAAAGCTAATAAACAATACAATACCCTCACAGGAAACAATGTCCAGACTAATGAGGTTCAAGGTTCATAAACAAAATTTAATTAATGGTTGTGAAATTTAATGACTAGATACCTGGTCAAGTGGTTCAAGTATCAATTAAAATTTTGAAATGTAGCACTCCAATTAAGAAACATTAATTAATTAATATATTAATCATCTAAGTATGTTAGAATCATTCCAGTTGTAGCAGGTGTTAATTGTACATATTATGATCACAGTTGCCTTCTTGCTTCAAAACAGAGGGAGATTCCCTTTAGCTCAATCGGAAGAGCAGTGAACTGGGAAGCTTGGGGTCGCTGGTTCGATCCCCGGAGGAAACCCACTTCTTTCTTTCCTTTACGTTGATACGTTAACTCAACCGTCTCAAAATCATATGTGACAAAACTCTAGGAGTGTTCACACATACAGGTGTGTTAACTCATTCATCCCTGATATTTCACATTGAACTATTCCAACCTTTGAATTGGAAGAGTTCAAATGTGTCTTTAGGGGTGAGGGAGTTAATTACCAGTCGAGGAATCAAATCTACCAATATAGTAGCAGTGATCTAAAAGTGTTACAATTCAACAATTCTATCAATTCAACAATTCTATCAATTATCAATTCAACAATTCTATCAATTCAACAATTCAACAATTCTATCAATTCAACAATTCTATCAATTATCAATTCAACAATTCTATCAATTCAACAATTCTATCAATTCAACAACATATCTAGCATCAACTTTACTCATTATTAGTGATTGTCCCAATAATTCAACAATCTGGGAATCCAATTTACCATTATTGACAACTATCTAAGATCAGGTACTTCAACAATTTGATATCAATCTAACAAGGCTTTAAAGTCTATTAATTCAGCAATGAAAAGTGGAAGTTGATTATAATCAGTTGATGACAGTAAGTACATACCATTGTCTGATCAGAGAGAAAGCAATGTTTAAAGTAGAAATTCAGGTAAAATTGTGCCTGTGAAAAACTTGCATTACAAGCAAGAAAACAAGTGAAAGTACGAGTGTTTTAATATCCACGGTAAAGCACATTAAAATCCTGACAGACAGTGAACGTAAATTGTTGACTTTCAAAAACAAATCAAAACAGGAATCAGGGAAGCAGTGATTAAATGTTAGCAGATTGTGAACTGAAGTTACTCTGAAATAGTAAAGAAAGATCATTGGAAATATTTACAAGATGATTGATTTAAGGAGTGATAACAGGTATAGCTATAGACAGACGAGAGATTGCCCGCGGGCAACTTTCTATGTGATATTTTGATGTGTATGTCAACCCTACGAGTAGGCCGGAGACATCGCATACTGTTGGTGATGCATGTTTTTTCCCCTAATGAACCAACATCTAAAAAAATAAAGATATTTACCGTTTCATCTTCCTAACTGCGCAGTTGAATCCTGTAAATATGTGCAGTACTAGGACATAAACGTGTGACTAAGGTTCTATTTTGTTAATGTAAGAAAACAGGTAATGATTATATTTAAAACACTGGTGTAGTAACTGATTATTGTCTGTTATTGAGGTGTACACCATATTACCCAATCAAATGCCTATTTAAAATTACATTGTCTCCAGGAAATGTGGTCAAATTGAAATTTGTTATTATAATTTTCTTATACAATTCTTGAAATTGACATTTGATCACATTCACCTAGGATATAAAATGATCCCAAACAGGATAATTCAGGATATGGACAACACCTTTTGAAAATTAAAAAATTAAAGTAAATGTCAAAAATGTGTATGATATAATAGTTATGTATAATTATGAAGTACAGAACATTGACTACACAACATTGGACGTGTGGTCATGTGATCATATTCTCCTAGGTTATAAAATGATCCCCAACAGGTAAACTTCTGGAGATGAATAACACCTTTTGAAAATTTAATTGGAAAAACAAAATTTTAAAATTTGTATGATAATATATATTAAGTAGAGAACATTGACTGTGGTAGTGTTGTAAGTACACAAGTATAAGCTGAGAACATTGGACTGTGTGTCGTTGTATTGTATGGCCTCCAGACTTCTACAGGCTATAAAGTACAGTATTATATACACAGTACGTATTTCCTACTTGAGTGTGGGTTTTCCCCGTTTCACAGTGACTAACAGCCCACAGCTGTTTTATGTACTCTGTGTTACAGTATAACACTGTGGTAGGGCTGGGGTTCTGTACACTGTTATTGTTAGGTACAAATCCAAATCCCTTCACAACTCTATTACAGGGGTCAGATATCATTGCCCATCCCCACCCCATATCTGTACCAAATGACCTCTGCACATTGGGAGGGGGATGAATCAGGTGGCCCAGTTATTAGTGTAACACTCCAACCTTTTTACAGGAGGGGGAGGCGAGTCCACAGGTTTTACTGATATGAGTTTAATCTTTTCAATGCAGAAATCTCATCAGACAAATTAGTCATGATAATATACATTCCTAAACTCCCACATAGAGAGGTGTAAAGTGTTAACACACAAGCAGACATGTAATCAAGTAATCACGATTTACAAAGCCATAATGATTACAATGAAATTTAATACCAAACATTTATAAAATGAAGCTGTTAAGTTTCTTTATCGTTACATCAAATGAAAAAAAATTGTAACAGATATTCACAAAATAAACAGAAACTGATCAGGTCTTTTAGATAGTTTATTGTTTTTCTTAAATACTTAATGTTTAAGTTTAACTCATTCACCCCTGAACATTCATAATGAACTATTCCAACCTTTGAATTGGAAGAGTTCAAATGTGTTTTCAGGGGTGAATGAGTTAAAGAAACTATGACTACCTATTCTTCAAATTAAGCTGTATGACATCTGTAATGAGACATCCAGTTGATGTTATCTTTAACATTTTGTCTGTTTGGGAGAAAGAAAAATAAGTCCTAACTGACTAGTTTAACAACATGCTTACGAACACAAATAACACAAAGATTCCTAGAACACTGTGTTGGATTGATTACATTTAGATAAAGAAATCTATTCAAATTCTGTCTCAGAAACTGTTTATAATGATCAGTAGAGGAAGAATCAATAACTTCTTACAACAGATCAGATTACACTTAAGTTCTGTTAGATTTCCCTCAATACCAAAAGGTGTATAGTCTGTTGTAGAGAGACTTATTAAAAATAATTTTCTGTTTTTTCTGCGAAAGGAAAAATAATTAAAGGAGAAATAAATATATCATTGTGATAAACATTAAATTCAGTTGTTTTTATCACGTACAATATTACTCCATGATTACAGAGAGGTTCAAATTTCAGATATTTAATGGCAAAACCAAATTTATTTTGAAGGCCTGGTAATTAGGAGTGTTCTACTATTTTTTACAGAAGGCTTTATCCAGAAGTATTTATAAGCCCGTGTGATGTAATTCAACATTAGTAGGTCTTAAAAGCACTGAACTGCAGGGATGTTAAGTGAAGTAAAAGTTGACAGAAGGCGTGGATATGGTTCATTTTTCACACACAATCCTAGATTTTAACCGTTTTAGGGTTTGCCTGGTCCATGACCTGCGCTGTTAAGCCTTTCTCCCTAGCCCACTCTCCATGGTAAAATGTCTTTAAACCCTCCTTATCTTAATTGGCAGAGTGGGGAGATCCAAGGATTGGCTTCAAGTGTACATCTGTGATTGAAAAAAATCCTGTCATTTATTTGCCTACAAAGTCCGCAAAACGTTTTACGGTGAATGAACATAATGTTTATTATACATAAAATAGTATTAAGTTATACTTGTTTTTCATCACCTACCAATCTAGAGATCATTATTTCTGCATGGGTTACTTGTCAAAAGGGTTCTCTGTCATTTATTTGTAAATAAAATAAATCCAAACTCGCAGTATTAAACATTAAATCAGAAACAAAGACTGAAGAAAATAAAGGTTAAGACCGTTTATGGCCCTTTAAATGGACCATTAAATATATTTTAATAATAAATAATATTGCCCATGGGTTGGACAGTTGGCATAATACATCACATAGGCCAGATAATAAAAACCTTTATAGTTTTAAATCTGTCTAATATTTATACATTTCTGTTTCATGTTCCTAGTTTATATAATAATAATATAACAATGTTGACTGCAAATAAAATGTTTACAAGTAAATTATTTAGGTCAAATGTAGTAATTTGTGAACATGTTTATAATGAATTAATAAGGTCCATTGTAGTTTGTTTTAAATATGTTTTTTTAATTTGTTAATTTGTTATAAAAATGTTTTACTGTGTATATTATACTTAGGTTTAATAACTTAGGTCTTCTATGGCTTGTTATAAACATGTTTTACTGTGTATATTATGCTTAAATTTAATAACTTAGGTCTTCTGTGGCTTGTTATAAACATGTTTTACTGTGTATATTATGCTTAAATTTAATTACTTAGGTCTTCTGTGGCTTGTTATAAATGTTTCCTACTTAAAAAAAAAAGGTCAATATAAATATATTTAAAGAAATTGTTTCTGTTGATGGTCTTTTAAAATATTGATATGTACCGCGTTTACGACGATCTATCTCTTCATAAGAAATAGTGTTCCGACATATATAGTAATGATGTCACACGATGTCGTTGCTTGGTTACGAATGATTATCTGACCTATGACATTGTCTGTTTCAGGTTCACCTAAAGTCACAGTTTATATTGAATGGTGTGTGTGTGATATGGAAAGGATGGGTGGACTTACATCGATTGGATGGAGTAGCGTGTTTAGAATTCGACTCGGAACGAGCAGAGGTAAGTTTCTTCACGATTTCCTTACCTCAGGTTCAAAGGTCAACCTAGATAGATGTGTGAGAAGGAAAGGTCAACTCATTTTTAGAGCGAGCTTTTTTCGTGTGAGGTGAACATATTAGCTCATTCATAGTGTGTGGTGCAAAGGTTAATCATTCATTATTTCAGGAGCTAATGTAAATCATTTGATGTATTAAGAAAAAAAGTTAATTCAAGGTGTGTCACCAGCAGAGATTATTTTATTTGTGTGGGGAGCAATGGTAAACTTGCATATTGTGTGAGGGGCAACGATTGCCTCATTTGTTGCGTGAGGAACAGGTTCTGTCATTTGTTGTGTGATGAGCAAAAGTTAAGTTATTTGATGAATGGATAGTAAGGTTTACTCATATAGTGTGTTTGAAAAAAGTTTAACTTAAACTGTGTTAGGATCAAAGGTTAACTCATGCTTTGTGGAAAGTTCAGGTTTACTCATATGGTGTTTAGGAAGCAGAGGTTAAATTAATTTTCTCTTTGATTTTGAAATACTGCAACAGAAAGTTGGCAATATTAACCAAACAAAACTGATCTAAATCATTAAATATTGTGAATTAAAATTAGCTATTGGCCATTTAATTTTTCAAAAAGTTTCCCTTAAATATTGTGTTATTGAAGTTCTAGCGAGCTTCACGCATTACATGTGACTAATTTGTGTATATACCAGCTCGAATGTTAGAATCTTGTTGAGTCCCTTACATACAATTACCGACGGTATCAAATATATGCAAGTTTCACTGCAAAACCAACAAAATTTGAATAAAAAATAAAAGAATGACCAAATAAGAAATAGCTTATATGAATATGTAAGGCCATATATAACAAGAGGGTGTTGGTATTCATAAATATTAGGAAGGAAATACCTTCAGTGCTGTGTGACTGGAGAGTTCCACCATGGGGAGGAACTCCTGCATTGCATATCTCAGATGTTATACAAACACATATAGGGGTATTTCTGCTTTCATATCGCTGCACCATGCAACTCCAGATGAGCAATGGAATACAATTTGTCGAAGGGTTATGGTGAGGCATATGTATCAATACGTCATGGCGATAGATTTTGTCAACGGTAATGTTGATACTTGTCAGTGGAAAAGCTATGGATAAACACGGCTTTGTTACGCCACAGATTATGCACCTCTTTTAATGTAGCTGTTCTGCATCTGTTGAAATTTGGAAAAGTGAAACAGATTGCAAACTCTTCAAAAGGTGACAAAATTGGATGAGGGGGGCGGATCGGGGTCACACTGTGGAGAAATAGTCCATCGCATCTTCATGATTAATGGGAATGCTGAAAACTGTCTTTTAGTCTTGGAAGTATCAGATAAACTAACTCCCTGGAATCTATTCTAGAGCCTGAAGAAATCATGTAGCAACGACAGGGAAATTATGCCAAAATCACACATTTCTTGTAACAATTTTTGTGAATAATTTCTGGGTAATAATGTTGTAAAATTGGTAAACCTCAAAATGAACAATGAATATAAATTAGAAAAAGAATTTAAACTGACAATAATTCATGCTTTAATTATTGATTGATTTAACGCTGGGACGAATTAGAGTACCAATATCTGAACAAGAAATAATTTAAATTAATTTAACTTAATTTAATTTTTTTCTCTTTTATTAAAATGTTCGCATCTAATTGGAGAAACAGTTATTTAATTCTTTTGGTGTACTTAAATAGGGGGCTATACCAGCACAAATAAAATCATACATTAATATCAATGATAGATATAAATATTCAGTACTTTTTATTGAAGCACAATTTTAAAAAAAATGACTTTTCATATTAAAACAATGTTTCATAATGTAAATATGTACATATATCCTGCTTACATATTGAAAATATATAAAAAAACAATTTCACAGGAATTTACATTTTAATGTTAAATATATTTATCTTCCTGAATATCGATTTATAGTCAATTTCAATTTTTGGAATTTTACGGCTTGACTTGGGCTTTATTAAAAATGTGTTACCAAGATAGTTTAGGTAGAGAGTAAGCTGGATTGTTTAAGCCTAATGTTACACTGTATGTAAGTCTGTTGCCCAATGAAGCTTGAGGGTTGTATTGAACAAGGTCAGTGAGTGAACTATAGCTGGCAGGTCGAGGTTATGTTAGTTTTGTCTGGGAAGAATAGAAATCTAGACTCTAGTATGTTAGGGTCTACTAACAGACATCATCTACCTGTGGTTGCCATGGTAATTAAGTGTGTGTTATTACTCTCAAACGACACCCAATATCCAAGACAGTGCGCCACGCTGAACCCATCCCAAGCTGAATAAATACAAGTACTCATAACATTTCCTGTCTCTTTTATGTTGGTTTTGTCCCTCAGTTGTGGAACTCTTCAATGAAAGAAGGACATATTGTCACCAAGAAGTTGCTTATATGTAAGATTTGAAATCTTAAAAGGACCAGTGGCACATTTGTAAATAAACTGTAGTGGTATTCAGCATGAGGTCCTGGTTCACACTGTTTACCACTGCAACTGTTCTTAGTCAAGTTAGACAAGTTAGACTTGGTTATAGTATGTAGGTCAAACCTTTTTGAAACTATAAATATCTAAGTTTTATTTCTTTCATTGCATAACAACAGCAATCTTTACCAAAATAAATCATTTCTATTGACAACTGAACTTTTCATAGCCCAAATTGGCTTCAATAAATTGTTATTTGATAAATGCAATAGATAGTGTTGGTCCAATTTGTGTCTGTTTCCGTATTCCTGGGTCCCAGAGCTGCTTGGAATGCCACTGGGGCTGCCTTCTGAGATATGTGTTTTGTGCGAGGTGCTTCAGGCAATGTGACCAGCTTGTAACCACACAACATATGGGAGATGGTGACGTGATGTTTGGTTCTGGTTGTAATGTACAGTTTGGCTTGTTTGACATGGTATGTTGACATTTTGGCGTCGTTAATCAGGGCACCCAAAGATAAACATTTCCTCTAATTTTGGTCTAAAGCGGAACTTTGCAAGAGAAAATGGTTTATGATTGTCCTTCTCTACATTTCTCTGGTGTGGTGCTTAATTAAACATCAGGTGCTCGACTGGAATTGGCGTGTTTGGCGCTTCGGACTCATTTTTTTGGAAATGTTTAATAAAATTTCTGCAAAGAATATTAGCACATTGAATGCAGAAATGAATATTAATGTCATAATTAATTCTTGTGGTGATGTCTGATTAAATTGTCCTTGTTTGGTAGGAGATGATTGATTTGGGATGTGTTTCCTACACCATACAATTTTTCATGCCTCTCTCAATAGCTCTGTGAAATTCCAATAATTAATCAGTAATATTTAATTATTCTTTGCCTCTGATATTTTCCTGTTTTATCGTACACACCCAGGCTGTAAATTATGGGGGGACAAGAGGAAGAAGCAGCTGTAGCGGTGTTGTGGTCGGGAGGTTTGGGAAATGGGTGCCGCACTTTGGTCAGGAATCACTTGAGCCCTTAGACCGACCAAGCCAACAGTGCTAAGCAGAGTTGCCTACTGTGTGGGGAGCCTGGCTGTCAGCCTTATCTACCCTTAGTCTGCTGCCTGACCTGGGTGCAGGGGTGGCTGCCTGACTGGCTGTCTGGAGGGGGGGGACAGACTTAATCAAGCCATATGTTACTTCATGTTTCTTATCCCACTATTAGCTAACAGTAGTTAAAGTGCTTTTTTGTGTAGTATTTCCACAATTAGGAAGCTGTGTATCGAGGCGAAGGCTGCTTGCATGGTTCAAACCAATGGAGTCAGGTTGAAACAGTTAGGACTCAGTTACATGGTGATGTTTGACCCCTATGTTAGTTGCATCTGTTTCCTCCTGTTTCCAGTACCAGTAGCCAGCACAAAGGAAACAAAGACACCCATCATGGGCTTGTTCAAGTTCCACACACTTTTTAATTTTTGCATGTGAAGTTTGCATCCAGATTTTGTGTCTAAGGCCCTTAATGCTTCATGCCAGGGTCACCTAACCCAAACTGCCAGATGAATTTCATAAGTCTTTACTTCTGCAACAGAGGGAAATTAAAGTTTTCCCTGGGACAATGGAAACAATAAGACAAAGAAAAAATCAATAAAAGCCATGGATTGAAGTAGAAGTCAGCTGGCATCAAACTTGCTTGGCTTTTATTAGAGAGTAGTTTGTAATAGGGCCAGCAAATGTTCACATCTCTACCATATGTAGCAGGCAAACTCATAGGCCTACAGGGTATGGCAAAGAAAAATAACTTTAAAAACCAATTAAAATTTTACATTGTTTGGATTTTCAAAAAGAAACACATTGAGATTGGCAGCTGATGATGTTTAACTCGTGGCCACTGAAGATGAAATGTTTTTAGATACACCCCTGGGACTGAGACCTAGGGATGCATGTGGCCGCGTGGATTCAGCTGGCGACTGCGTAAACTTCTTAAGCCTGAGCACACGTTATCGGAGTGTGTCCCCTTAATTGAATGATGAAAGCACTAAAAACACCAGGTGAAACTAATAAGAAGATATTTTTTTCATTAAATGAGCGAAAAGTGCAATAATTTATAACTCTTTTCAACTTTTTTGCATCCAAAAGTGAGAGGATGTCAAAAGTTGTTGTGTGATGCGAAAGCTGTTGGCAGGCGCTGTGCACGGTGCTGGTACGATGTTGTGTGAGAAAGAAGGGTGTGGAGCCACAAGGCTCGTGGCCTGTGTATACTGTGCCTGCTGACCCCTCATATCCCTGTTTTGTATTTCCGCAGGTGGAAGCGGCGATGCTGAGAGATCAGATAGAACAGTATAACCGGCGGCTGCGCGAGTTTGAGGAACGGCAACGACAGTATCGTCAGCAGCAGGAGCGACAGGCAGAGCAGGAAGCAGAGGTAGTAGAGGCTTTGTTGTGTATAGCTGAAGAGGGCAAGCATTAGACCCCCACTCCCTTACCCTCCCCCTGCTTTACGCCAACCCATAGGAACTTTGGGGAACAAAACTCACTCACAGCAAAACTTTTGTAAACTTATACAAAACTTTTTAAAATGGCAATAAAGTAGAGTAAAGTATTGTTCGTCAGCACAGAAAGTTTACATAGTGAGGTGTGCACATTACTGGGCTTGTCTAGCTTAGGGTAGGTTTGGTCATGAGTATTGGACTGACCACGGTTGACCGAGGCGTGGCGGGGGAGGGACCGGGTCTGCATGCTGTGTTATCGTTGTGGCATTTCATACCCTGACAGACGCTTCATCCACTGTTTTACACCACTTTCAGGGCCAGCTATGGGACGACGAGTGGAGTTAGGCCTGTGTCACCATGCATGTTTTCTCCGTTGTCATAGGGGACACATTCAGTGTTGTGCAATCGCCTCGGATATCTGTCCGTCTGTCCCTGCTTCCAACCTGGAGGCGCAGACCACCTCTTTCCTCTGCTCCAGTGACTGTTGTTAAGTGTTGTCAAGGCAAAACATTTTCTCTGACACTTGTGATATTATTTTTTCATTATTATTATGATTTCAATTTTTGTCTCAAATTTTCATTTTTGAACTTTATGTGGCCACAATATTTCACTAGAACATGAATTATTTTGAATGCCTATTATGTTTTTCATTCTCACTGCCAACATTTTTTTATGAATGCTTTTCTGTTGTTTTAAGTTCCTGTTTGTTCAGTATTGTGAGATTTTGATGTTGTAAAATGGTATAAAGATCATTCTAAAGTGTTGTATTAAACTTTTCTCAGTCCATATGAAACTTTCTAGTCATATAAAATGGACCGAGATTATGATATGTAGATCATTTGGTAACTTCCATAACTTATGCAATGCCTCAGAATGCAAGATGTAGATGTAAAGATATATTTAGGGTGAGGATAAACTGGTGATATGTACATAGGAAAATCTTCTTTTGCATTAAGTTTAAGTAACTTTGTAAAACTTTATAGACCCCTACATATCTGTGATTGAGTGAATGTGTCTGAATATAATACCCATCAAATCATATAAAATATCATATAATGTTTAAATGAGTTGCTGAAAATGTATAAAAATGGTTGATTTATGTGTGAGAGTACTATATATGATGAGATTTATGAAGGAGAAAGTGAGAGAAGTTTGGAAAGCTAGAATGTGAGCCCCCCTCTTGGGGAGCAACAGATCAGACTGTAGCTATCCACAAGCCAACCCTCACACTCATTCCTATACTCTAAGATGTGTAAAAAATCAATAAATTCTTCAAAAAAGGTTAGAGTTATCTCCCTTCATAGTGTTGATATGATACTGCTGAATTGTAACATAAAATTCTATATAAAGATTATATATATGAATGGTTTATTTTTTGTAAAATTATTATAACCTTTCTGGGTCATATTACAAAGTTGAATAAATGTTTGATTTTACAAAGTTTTTATCATTTCTTATTTGTTTATGTTTTATAATCTGGTTTTACCATGTTTTATGCTTGTTTGATTTGCCTTGTCTTTGTGTTACAGCTATCTGACTCGTTGCTTCCTTTTGTTTCATATGATGCTTCAGCTACATAATTTGTGTCATAAAAGTGCGCGAACACAGCACATGCGAGGACTAAATCTCGCTGCCACCTGCATATATATTTGTACTGCTAGGAGATTCTAAATTACCATTCACATTCACAATACTGGAGTATCAGAGTAGCACAAATATGAAGCTCTCTTCTGTTTTTGTTGAACCCTCTGTTGATTGCACTATATAGGGAGTCAGAGGCTAATAAGCATGCAGATTTCCTGCCTGACACATGTCAGCCCTCCACACTGGCAACAGGCCCAACTCTCTCTAACCCAAAGTACCCAACCTTATTCAGCACATCATGTCACACCATTCAACAGTTTCAATCAAATGCTTTTATTAAAATTATTTTTATGTAGAAATAAATAATTTGCGCTCCAACTTTGAAAGTGAAACAGGGTTTTGTAACACAAATATGTCACCAGGTAGAGTGGAGTTGCCAGTTGTAAGGCTATGTTTTTTATACAAAATCAAAACCTAGCTGTTTTCTACATATTTTTTTTCCAAAACATCCAATACCAAGACAAAGTAATGCTTAATTAAATAATTTATTCAACATTTAGGAAAATTATACTTAATGTTAAAAATTGAAATAGACAAATGTTTAAACACTCATTGTTCCTCGCTTAAAATGTATCGGACCTCTTATTCAGTAGCAAAGATCTACTTCAGCTTCAAAAGTTTCATCTGAAAGATGTAATGGATATTAAGGTCTTAAAAAAGAAAGATCATTTCCCCCTTTTTGAATAGAAGAAGAAATTGGAAATTTTATAATTTTGTCTGTTTCTATTTTGATTGTTTCCATGCAAGTAAATGAGAAACATCCATCTAATTAGGATATATTTTATTCCCAAGAAAGTTTTACATCAAACGAAATAAAAAGTAAATTTGTCAGTTTTGAACAATAAAGTTTTGAAATGTCACAGAAACATAATGAGAAGACGAATCACTAAAAAAGCTTAAGTTTCAATGTGATATTTAAGATAAACATATGTAGCATGTGTATCATAAAAAGTCCTCACCTCGTCGCAAAAGAAACCAGATATTTGAATGAGCTTTGTGTTAAGTGTATGGAAAATAGGTGGTTAAATTTCAAAAGACCTGAAACAGAAATTATGAATATCAGTGTGTGTAATGATATCGTAGAAGGATTTAGCAGGTTTAAAGCCAGCGCTTTCCCATCCATCAGAACAGATTTGATATTCCGTGTGATAGGGGTGGGGATTTGTGTACAGTGATGAGGGGAAGGCTGAGGTTTGTTGACTCACCAAACAGGTTGGTTCTCCATTTCTGGATTTCCTCGAACATTGCATCCTAGCACACATCAAGTCGATGCATTTAGCAATTTCATGCAACAAAATTGAGGTTCTCAATGCCAAGTTTTCAAATAAAACCCAATCTTAAAAAATTAGGCTGTTTTAGTCAGGATCATTATGGATATATTGTATGGATGATACATTTAAAGATAGGGTTTCGTAACTCTGATACATTAGGTTTTCCAGTCAGACTGAAATTAATAATAAAAAAATAATAAAAACCTTTTATTAAAGAGTGACTTTACAAAGTAAACTTTCTGTAAATTTTGGTGTAAGACCATATAGTATCCTTAAGCATCAATAACCTTTTGTATCTACCCAGTAATAAATCAACTTCACATCACAACCGACACATTTCATTGTAGTATCACGCTTACAGTGAAAACTTAACTAATATATATATTGCTGTTAATTCACATCAAACAAACTTGAAATTTGTTTTTGATTTACTTATAAGTATTCTGAACATTTAAAACCCTTTATTTTTGTGAATATGATAGACTAAAAATGAAATATTTTGGAAAAACAGAGTATATTCCGTTGAAATCCCTGACACATTCACTCCACACACAAACATTACTTGCATGGTTGTGTTCACCAGGATTTTCATTTGTAATATTAACAATATCAGTTCTACACAAGCCTGAACATTTAATACATAAATATCCACAACTCTTAATTACACACTTTATAACAGTTGTTATGAATATTTACTAAATTCCCGGTCAGATATCTGTTGTGAATATTTTAAACCTCAGACTTAAAGAAATATACCTGTTGATATCCCCCTATTTTGGCAGTTTTCTGGATTTTTTTTTTTTTAAGTGAGTATTTTACGAGATTTTTGACAAGTGTGCCTTGAACCCTGTAGAATACAGACATAGATGCCCTTCCTTCTGAGGTGAACTGTCAATGCTGAGGAGTGCTATACTCCCACTCAATGGTATACGTTACGCCCACTTTACGCACCAATTAGAGTATAAGTCATCTGCCCCGGCAAACATCTCCATGATTATTATATTTTCCTGATGAGTAATAAAATAAAATAAAAAATTGGTGTTCCTATCCTAAACGAGCTGATATCTTTCTTGTTTCTATTTTTTAGCTTTGAAATCATAGATGACCTTTCATTTATTTACAAAATGACATGAAATATACATTTCAGCAATAGGAGAAAAAGATTGAACTTGCATTATAATTTTTAAAATGAAGACAAAAATTTGTATTGATCACTTGTTTCTGCGTAAAATTGGTAATTTATCACTAAAGCTGTCAGAAACCAAATCTCTAGCTTGTCTAATTGTCAGAACACAGACAGAGAAAGGTCTTACAACGGTATCTCATAGCGTGGATGTTATACTTAAACGGGTCTGGAAAAAATCTGTTAAGTTGAAGTGCCTGGAAAGAAAAAGTCTTTTTACAAAAGGATAATTTGAGTTAAGGTAACCACAATAGTACATATCAGCCTTGCTATCATGATTTCTCTCTATTGTCGGCAGCCGTCAAGGAGTGTCGGCCAGCTTTTCCGGTTTATCACCTTTTTGTAATTTTTCAACATACTAGAAATGAAAAGAATGTCAAATATGTGATGCATGAGTTTTGATATATTAAGTATGAGAGCTAAGAGTAATTTATTTACATCTGTCTTTGTCTACGATTGGCTGGCTGCCTGTGGACACTTAACATTCATCCTTATCACAAACTTGCTACTTTTTGACATTTGTGTAGGACTACAATAAAACCAAAGTCTGATATCAACAGGAGTAAACACATTTTCTTTTATTATGTATGTAGCTATTTCCAAATGAAATAATTACTTATGAATAAAAAATCCCCGTTTCACGCACGAGATACTGAGAAGAATGTTTTTAAAAAAAGTTCATTTCAATAAAGCTTTAAGATTATTATATTGTTCAGTAGATCTCAAATATAAGGCAGAGAAAAAGATTTTTTTTTCTCCACAATATAAAAATTAAACAGTTTAAATGTATATAAAAAATATTACAAACAACTGGATGTATACTCATTTATAGATTATTGAGTAACACAACTGAATAAGGATGAATATTCAACTGTGTATTTAATTTAACACAACTAAATAGATTTGAATATATTGATTTGGTTTAGAACATGATAACACAAAGTATAAAACGCTATTAAATACTGTCAAATACATTAATTTATTGATTCTACGGAGTGTAAAATAACACAAGTAAATAAAGCTTAAATCCGCTATTGAATACAAAGTTGAATATATTGCCTCAAAACGGTATTGAAACACCATATTTGAGGCAATTGAATATTCAATATTCAACTAAGTATAAATCACCAAATTAGAGTTGTTTATGTTCACTCCGCAATATCACAATATAATATAGTTGAATATTCATTTGAGTATATAACTATTTTAAATACGGTTGTATACATTCAAAGATTATAGAATAGCACATTTTAATACAGTATTAACTAGTTTATAACCACTATTGAGTAAAGGTGAATACACCCATTAAACAGAGTAAACAATAACATCGTTTAATGCAGTTGAATATGTAACTAAATATAAACACCTGAAAATTTGGAACAGTATTACTCATTAATAATGTTTTTTGTTCTATTTGATAACATATTTCAATGTACCTTTTAATATATCCTAATTTCTAAATAACTAAAACATATCTCATTCAATATAGCTCATATTTATAGTCCACCTAACACACAAACATGGAGTGAGTTAGCTAATGCTAATAGTACATCACTCAAACACTGAGTAAGTCAGCTTGTGTTTACATAACTCAATCACCGAGTAACTTAGCTCATGTTTATAGTACATCACTTAACACCGAGTAACTTAGCTCATGTTTTATAGTACATCACTCAACAAAGAGTAAGTTAGTTAGTTCATGCTTTTAGTACATCACCCAAACACTCAGTAAGTTAGCTCATACTTATAATACGTCACTCAAACACTGAGTAAGTTAGCTAAGGCTTATAGTACATCACTCAAACACTGAGTAAGTTAGCTCATACTTATAATACGTCACTCAAACACTGAGTAAGTTAGCTCAGGCTTTTAGTACATCACTCAAACACTGAGTAAGTTAGCTCAGGCTTATAGTACATCACTCAAACACTGAGTAAGTTAGCTCATACTTATAATACGTCACTCAAACACTGAGTAAATTAGCTCATGCTTATAGTACATCACTCAAACACTGAGTAAGTTAGCTCATACTTATAATACGTCACTCAAACACTGAGTAAGTTAGCTCAAGCTCATAGTACATCACTCAAACACTGAGCGAGTTAGCTCATGTTTATAGTACAACACTCAAACATGGAGTAAGTTAGCTCATACTTATAAAACATCACTCAAACACTGAGTAAGTTAACTCATACTAATAGTACATCACTCAACACTGAGTAAAATAGCTCAAACTTAAAGTACATCACTCAACACTGAGTAAGTCAGCTCATGTTTACAATACACAACTCAATCACTGAGTAAGTTAGCTCATGTTTATAGTGCATCACT